GATGGCCAAACATTGGTTATTGAATTCAGATACACCAAACTTGAAATTAAGACTCATTTCTAATAGATCCACAGATGGAAGAGTATATAATCAACCTACTCTTTCTGAAGTTGTTGCTTTGATAGTTAGTGATCTTGATACAGCAGAAATGAGGGATATCATCATGCAAACTAAAGGTGGAGAGTTACAAAGAATTAACGAGCTTCATGCAAGTTACTTGGTGTATCAATATCCTTTAATTTTCCCTTATGGAGAAGATGGTTATAAACCAAACATAGCTCATCGAGACTTAGACATATTCCAAGACAACAAGAGAAATAGACTTACAATTAGAGAGTGGCTATCATTTTGCATTCAGAACAGATCATTTGAGGCTAAAACTTTGTTGTCTTCAAGAAGGCTTTTTCAACAACTCTTAGTTGATGGTTACACAATGTTAGAGTCTGAAAGACTTCAATGGATTCGTGAAAATCAACCCAAATTAAGGGTGTCGAAATACAACAGTCTTACTGAAGTGGGTGAACAAAGTGAAACACATGGTTCTTCAACAGGAAAAAGAGTGGTTTTGCCTTCTACTTATGTTGGTGGAAGGAGGTTTATGGATCAATTGTACTATGATGGAATGACTATTTGTAGCAAGGTAGGGTTTCCTGATTTATTTGTAACATTCACTTGCAATCCAAATTGGCCTGAAATACAAAGGTTACTTAGGCCTCTTGGACTAAAACCCCAAGATCGTCCTGGTGTGATTTCGAGGATATTTAAAATCAAGTTTGATCATCTTCTATCATATTTGACAAAAAGGGGAGTGTTAGGCAAGGTGCTTGCATGTATGTTTTCTTTTCTCACCGTAACTTTTCAATTTGTTACACAATATTACAATTTACTTTTTACTAGTTTATTTTTTTGTAGATGTGTACACCATTGAGTTTCAAAAGAGAGGGTTGCCACGTGCACATATATTGATATTCTTGCATCCTTCTAACAAATATCCAAGACCCGAAGATATTGACAGAATTATAAGTGCTGAAATCCCTGATCCTACGAAGGAACCAAAGCTATACAACTTGGTTAAAACTCATATGGTTCATGGACCTTGTGGATTGGCAAATTAAAGTTCACCTTGCATGAAAGATGGGAAATGTTCAAAGTATTACCCAAAAAAATTTCAGTCAACAACCATAGTTGATCAAGATGGCTATCCACTTTATAGGAGAAGAGACAATGGAAACACAATCGATAAAAATGGAATCATTCTTTACAGTGGACATGTAGTTCCTCACAACCCAAGTTTATTGTTGAAGTACGAGGCGCACATCAACATGGAATGGTGTAACCAAAGTACTTCGATTAAATACTTATTCAAGTATATTAACAAGGGTTCAGATAGAATTTCTGTTGTTATTCATTCTTCTGGTGATATGTCTGATGGTAAGAAGAAGAATGTTGATGAGATAAAGCAATATCTTGATTTTAGATACATTTCCCCGAGTGAGGCATGTTGGAGGATTTTCTCTTATTCTATACATGGTAGGAAACCGGCCGTGGAAAGACTATTTTTTCACATGGAAGGTGAGAATTCTGTTTACTACAAAGACTTTGAGCAAATTGGTAATGTTCTACTCAAACCAAGTGTTACAGAATCTATGTTTACTGCATGGTTTGAAGGGAACAAAATATATGATGAAGCTAAGTTGTTGACATATAGTGATTTTGTGACAAAATTTGTTTACCAAAAGAAAACTAGGACCTGGAAGCCTAGAAAAAAAGGGTATACAATTGGTCGTCTCATTTGGGTTCCTCAAAGCACAGGTGAATTATTTTATTTATGAATGATGCTTACTGTTAAGAAAGGACCAACAAGTTATGAAGACATCAAAAAGGTCGATGGTTCACAACATAACTCTTTTAGAGAAGCATGTTTTGCAATGAGATTTCTACAAGATGATAGAGAATTTATTGAGGCTTTAAAGGAGGCGCATCAGTGGGGTTCTGGTTTATTTCTAAGAAATTTATTTGTTACGATGTTGCTATCTTTATCAATGAATAGACCTGAGCATGTTTGGAATCAAACATGGCACTACTTAGCTGATCGTATTCTTTACAGTAAACGTGTCATAACAAGAAATCCAGGTACACCCTATATGCATTTCAATTTCTTACTTTTATTCACAAGTTAACTGTTATATTGACACTTTATTGTTTTATCTTCATTAGGATTAACACTTATCGATGAAGAATTAAAACAACTTACTCTGATTGAAATAGAAACTCAGTTACAAAAGAACAATAGAAGTCTGAAAGATTTCAAGTCAATGCCATATCCAAATGACTTTGTACTTTCTTTTCTTGGAAACCGTCTGATTTATGAAGAAAAGAAATATGATTCAAATGCTCAAAAAATCATTTTTGATACTTTCTTCTCATCTTTTACAGGTAAAATTACATTCGTAAACTATATATTTTTCCAACTTATTTCATGTTTAGAACTATTATATTGATAAATATAATACTTATTGTTTATAACTTATATTATTTATAGTTGATTCCCTCAATGGCATTTACTGTAGTCAATGCCTAATAAAACTTTAAATTCTCATTTTGAAACATGTTGTCACATGACGTTTTTTTACAGATGAGCAGAAACACATTTACTTTGATGTCATGGATGCCGTAGAGAGACAAAATGGTGGTGTGTTTTTTTATATGGCTATGGTGGAACAAGTAAAACATTTATGTGGAACACTCTCGCTGCTGCTATTCGTTCTAAACATAAAATTGTATTGCCTGTGGCATCAAGTGGAATTGCAAGTCTGTTGTTACCAGGTGGAAGAACAACACATTCTAGGTTTAAGATACCTGTCCCTACTTTGCATTCATCAATTTGCAACATTGACAAAAAAGATGATCTTGCTGAGCTTTTAAAGATAACAGATCTTATTATATGGGATGAGGCTCCGATGGCTAATAGATTTTGCTTTGAGGCTCTTGATAAATCCTTGAGAGACATTATGAGTGAAATTCCACAGGCTGCAAATAAATTATTTGGAGGCAAAGTAGTTATTTTTGGTGGTGATTTTAGACAAATCCTTCCCGTTGTTTCAAGAGGTAGTAGATCTCATATTATTCATTCAACTATCAATGCTTCTTATATTTGGGATCAATGCAAAGTCCTCAAACTTACAAAAAATATGTGCCTACAAACTAGGACAACTTCAAAAGAAATTGAAGAAGTTCGTATATTTTCTGAGTGGATTTTAGCAATTGGAGATGGTACCATGGGTGAGGCTAATAATGGTTACGTTGAAATTAATATTCCCGAAGAGTTTTTAATTTCAAAATTTTCACATCCTATTAAAGCTATTGTTGATAGTACCTATCCCGATCTCATTAATAACTACCACGACCCCAATTTTTTACAAAGTCGTGCTATCTTGGCTTCAACAATTGAAGTTGTCGATGAGATTAATCAATATATTACAGATCTTCTTGCAGGTACTATACATGTCGTGAAGTTGTTTTCATGCTAATTTCATTTTTGACTTCATTTTTTATTTGTTGAATCATTTGTCTGTTTTTTTTTCTTTTAGGAGAAGAAAAGGAATACTTTAGTAGTGATTCTATTGATAGATCAACAACAACCGACTTTGATGCATTTGAGCACTTAACTGCTGAATTTCTAAATGCTCTTAAAACTTCTGGATTGCCTAATCATTCTATAAAGTTGAAAATTGGTGCCACTATTATGTTGATGAGAAACTTAGATCAATAAGAAGGTTTATGCAATGGTACAAGACTCACAGTTACAAGGTTGACTAATCATGTTATTGAAGCTAGAATCATTTCAGGAAAGAATATAGGTAACATAATTTATATTCCAAGAATGTCTTTGTCCCCCTATCAATCACCATGGCCATTTAAGTTAGTGAGAAGACAATTTTTCATTATTGTTTCTTTCGCTATGACAATTAACAAATCACAAGGTCAATCGTTAGACGTAGTTGGTTTATAAATGATGTATTTAGTCATGGTCAGTTGTATGTCGCAATGTCCCGAGTTAAGACAAAACAAGGTCTTACAATTTTGATTCATGATAAAAATAACAATACCGCTGCTACTACCACTAAGGCACTAACGTTGTATTCAAAAAAGTTTTCCACAATATTTAGAAGGTATAACAATCATACTCTTTTCCTTGGTTAAGCTTTCCATTACAATAAATGATCCAATTATTCTCTAATTATTTTTTTTTCTTTTACTATATATTATTACTTTACTCCTTTGTTGACAACATTACCGTTTCATTTAGTTATATTAGTTGTTTCATATTCAATTTCTATTTTCTTAATTTATATTGCTTTCACTTTAATTGCATTGTCTTTCATTTAACTCTAATACACATATTTATCAAAATTAACTATATATTTATAAATTTATTTTTTCCGAAAACTAGTTTGAATTTATAAAATATCAGACACACTGATAGCTAATAAAAATAATTTGGTAAAATTCCTATTCCCTTTAATCCATTTCTTACATTTTTAATAAAGCTGGTAAGAAAGCATTACAGAGGGAGTAGTTTTTAAGCAGGTAAAGAATTAGTGGCATTTGCAGTGAAGTGGCGAGAGATAAGATTAAAGCGCATTCTCAATACAAAGCATTTGCATGAGCTACAGCTATAAGGAAAATAAATCGTTTAAATCCAACTACTGCACATCCACTCGTTTGATCACTTGAGAGGACAACGCCTCAGTATTTCTTTACAAAACCTGATATCCCAACTAGATATCATCTTATTTTATGCCCTCCAAAGCAACAGGAAGCCAATGTTTCATTCACAATACCTCGTAGCTGCCAGAAAGATCATTTCCGTGGCCAGCCAGAGTATATTTAGAGTCTAAGATAACACATCAGCCAGGCCAAAGCATTATGTAACATTTTTTAAGCATACATAAATATTGATTTACCATAATAATGGTAGTTTGGTATAAACAAGTGTCTCAACGATTTTGTGAAGGTGTTCTGTCTGAATCACTCCTTAATCGATAGCTAGAAGATATGAAACCTGGGTCTGACCTGCCAGCACTCTGATGGTATGCTCTCCAACTTGATTCTCTACCAACTTGGTTTAATGACGATGAAGGCAAGTGATCTCTTTCCCATGCATGTAATTGATTTGGAAGACGGGTTTCTTCATGAAAATTGCGTCCTCCTGGGACATAAACATAGCTACCACTTTGGTCTGGTGCTGAGGCCAACGATGCTAATAAAGCTGACCCACTGTGACCGTTGGATCTTCGAGTGCTGGAAGCAACAGGTGCCCGTACTGTGGTAGAATTCGGAGGTTGCTGCTGTTGATAGTATGCTTGAAGCGCCTGGACTCTATCACGCGCACGAGCACTGCTTCCTGGATATGGAGGAATCATGGAAGATGCAGCAGAGTTTCCGGCTCGAGCAATAGAACTGCAAAATTACACACCTCAGGTATCAACCTTAAAACCTTGGTAAATTTCCACCAGCCAGCAAAGTTGCTCAGTTTCATCCTTTATTAATCTAGGTTTAAATATTATTTGGGTACACCGAAATATATCAACTTTTACTTTTAGTCCTTATAAAAAATATATTTTGATTTTAATCCTTGCAAATGTACATTAAACATTCTATCTTAATCCCTTCAATACAGACTGCATAAGGACTTAAATGAACATTCTACACATGGAATAAAAAGAATATTACACATTAAATATACTAAAAGCAAAAAAAGTATATATTTGCAAACATTTAAAACAAAAAAAAAAAAAAGTATTTTTATCGGATTAAAATAAACTTAGGTGGTTTGAACATGTAAAGAGAAGACCTGTAGATCATGTTAAGGAAAAAAGACTAGATGGAAATGAGTGTGACAACTAAAGGTAGAGGGAGACCTAAAAAAAACTAAAAGAAACTATTAAGAAAGATGGTCTTGGATAGAACATCATGGCGTATGGCATAATTTGATCCATGTAGCCGACACCACTTAGAGGGATAAGGCTTGCTTGTTGTATTTTTATAGGATTGAAAGCAAAAAGTGGTATATTTGCAGGGACCAACAATATATTTAAATCATTGATCTATTAGTTTAATTTAATGCAATTTCACTAATCAGACTATTGGTGTATGTTGTATAATATGATTTGTTTCATGAAGTTACATTGAGGCTCAAGCAATATATTACTGCAAACTCAAAAGCATCATAGCAAGGTATAGGAACTTAAAGCGATACCTGTGTCCAACAGGGAACGGATGCATATAAGATCCGGATCTAGGGACCTCTGAACCACCCCTGGCTGGCCTTTGATTACTTTGTGATACTGAGGGCTGATCTGCAGCACCGAGATGGCTGCTGCCAGAAGAGAAATGGGAGGAATGGTGATCCCAGCTGTGATAATGAAAAACCACCGCCGGAATTGTGTAGGATGCTGACATGTCGCCATGTGTAGGTGGACCACTCCAGTGATTGAAATTAGAAACTTCTGAAACAGTTCCACCAGAGTTGGAGGTGGAGGGATGTATTGGTCCAACATAAGCAATATATGGACAAGGATGATTACCAGAAGACACAGCTGAATGCTCGGAAAACATAGCATGTGTTCCCAGTGCATCATGATCTGCAACTCAAAATTTCAGTCAAGATAGAATTGTCAAATGCAAGTTGACAAAAGGGAGGGTAGTATACAGGTAAAAGAATCTTACACGCATTTGATGCAAATTCCCGTTCTCTGTAAAAACAATACAAGCATAAAATGAGTTACCATTTCATAAAAAAAAGTGTAAGTCCCCAATCCATAACATTTACATTCTAATAAAATGATGACCAATCTTTTCTTTCAACAAGTCCAAGAGAGATAATGGTTTTGCTCCACAAATAATAGTTAAATATCAGCTCTGAAACCTCACATAACATTCTAAGCAAATCTTATTTTGGAAATGACTAGCAATGGCATTTTATAATAGTTTGAGGACCTTAACGGTTTTGAAACGCAACTTAACATTCTAAACTCTAAACTAATCAACTTTGGTTACTACTTTCAATGGATAAAATGCAAGAGATATATAATAAAACCAATACCATTCATGCATAGCACTTAGACTCCTTTTTTGTTTACTACATAGAATCTGAATGAGATATTTCATTACAAGAAAGAAGGGATGCCTTGACACAAGAGCTGTAGTTAGTGCAGTGCGAGTAGGAGGTTTCAGGTTCTTTTCCCAAATATACAAAGGTAAGGCTGCCTATAATAGATCCGAAATGAGTATGTCCTTGCGTTGGCCCTTGCAATGGCGGGAGCTTTATAGCACAAGGTTGCCTTTTATTTCATCACAGGAAAAGAGGATTACAAGCAATGAAGATAAGATATATCATTACACCTTTTTTGATTTTATGTGCTAAATAAGATTTTCAAATTCCAAAATTCTACCCAAACTTGTAGCCATATCTACCACCTGTATTGAAAGTCTAAAGATTATCTTCCCCATACACTAATTAAGAATACTATTGGATTGAGCACTTACACTAGGCATACACCATAGTTGTTATTTGACACATAATTTGTTTTAGTCAAGTCCATCGTCAAGAACCACATTACAATCTAACTTTGGCCTTACCCATGCCTTGCCAAGGCAATATGCTGGCTGACCACAACCAACAATCTTCCTCCCAGCACCTATCTCAATAGTTTGGGCCAAGGCAGTATGCTGGCTTAGAACCAATGACTCCCTTTTTAGTTCATGTATATGCTATTACGGCCTACAGGCATTGAACTCGAGTCAAGACATTAGCTATAATACCACTCTTTGGATCAAACGGTTACTAGTTACTACTAAGCTAACATAACCCTTCTTACAGACATCCCATTACATTTTGGCAGTTCCTAACAAAACTAGACTGGTCTATTATGTATACAATTCTGAAGTGTAATGACTTGCAAAGAAGAAGGGAAACTTTGTGGGATCAATTTGAAATAAAAGTATTATATATGAAAAGAGAGAGACTTCACGGAGAGCAGCATAGTAAATAACTTTTTCAACTCAACTAATGTTGCTCTCTTCAAATTCTTGATACTTTTCTCCAAGTATTCTTTGGCTCTCCCTACTTTTCATCTTATCTCCTAATTCTTATCTTATTCTAAAATATAATCTGAATTCTAAATTTTATTTGGTATTAATATTAATATCACCAATAGCTTTAGCCACATTGGACTTCATTAACCTAATCCAGTTCCAAGTTAAGTAACAAGTGGCATCACTAACACTCAGAGTGCCAATTGTATCTTAGAACTGGCCTTCACAAAAAGTCCTATGCATGTTAACTCATAGGTGGGATACTTCAAAGCACAAAAGACTAACACCAACAGGAATTTGGACAGAGATTAATCGGCAATCTGCATGCTTATTTTAGTATGTTATCTTTAAGTAGTAAGCTTACTCGTATGAAGAAGGAAGTTGGGTAAAGTTACCAAAGGGGCACCAGTGAACTCCCATGGACTGCATAAAGAATTTGGAAATCAAAGTTTAGTCAAAATGGTAGACAGAACATATTTATACTCACAAAAATGAAAATGAAAAAGAACAAGATGAGTCCATTTAAAGCAGGTAATGCCAATCTTGATTCTCAATTCCAACTATCAAACATTAAAAAGTTAAAAAAAAAATTGGAAACATTTAAGAACTACTTAGCCCGGTCTTAAATATAAGGCAGAAGTCAAAACGTATTTGGCCCAATTAAGGCTAAATACATTTTTACTTTTGCTTAGGCCGGATGAAGTAAATGGTATAACAATAATAATTAATCAGTAGAATTACACACTTGGAACATTTGAATTTTGAAGGAAAAAGCATAGGAATGAATAAAGCAACAGGAGAGTTAGGATTCACAAATAATGAACTATTAATTTGAGTGGATAAATGCTTGCAGCATCCAGTTTTTCTCCTACCCAGATAGCATTCAATACTTTTTTCCTTCTGAATACTTTTCATAAAATATGATGTATGTGCTGGAGTAGGCATAGCTAAGTGCTAACTGCTAACTTCTATCCTAAGATAACAATTTCTGGACAAAACCCTTTGAGAAATCAAGCCGTGTCTGTTAAAATTTCTTACTCATACATCTATATAAAATAAGTGCCTAATTTTACTTAAAAAAATATGTTACTCAGTAGAGGTTAGGATGGAATGGGGTTAATCTCTACGGTCATGTCTTTAATTTATACAACTGTTCTAAAGAGAACTGATGACTAATACAGATGACATGTTGCCAATTCATAGACAGACAACACAGTTTCGTAAAGCTGTTCTGTTACATATGTGTACCAGCCAATTTCTGAAATAGTAGCCCACCAATGTTGCACAACTTGCATGGTAAGGTGGTTTACTTTACCCTAGCATTTGTTAAGGAATATGATGATTGACCTTATGGTCCCCTTTAGTGTTCTTCTCATGGTTGTACTTTACCCCTATATAATTTGGTTTCTTTGGTTTCTATTATTACTTTTCCTACTCAGGAGAATTCTCTATTAGCAATTGTTTTGTAAAAGCAAATGAAGGGGAAAATGATATTCTTGCTCTCTCTCGGTGCCAAGTCTCGAACCGTGTATAAGGTTATAGAATCAACTTCAAACCACGTGACTTCACAGGAAACAGGCGGAAAATGCTATTCTTTAGAGTATAGGATCTTTCAACTTCGGAAAGAATAACACACAACACGTAAGCAATAAATAAGTTTGCAGAGTCCAAAATGATAAAGAACAAAACAAAACAAACACATAATATCTATCACAACTGTTTATCATATAAAACAATGCGAAAACGACAGGAACGAGTATAATAATGGCCTCAGTTTCTATTACCATTTCAGAAAAGCTAATATCATATGCATCCTCGTCACGTGTCCAATCATCCATATTGAATTCTGGATACAATCGACTGCTGCTACCATAAAGCCACTGACCTTTCTCAATCTTCCGACAATTAGGACATTGCATTGCTCCTTTTACATTGAAAGCCGAGCCAATGCAATCTAAAACCATATAAAGAATAAAAAATAAGAAGCATCACAAACAACAATGCGATGCAGTCACATGCAGAAAACATCTATGAGTTTGTTAAAAGTTGAAAAACACGTAGCAGAGAAAACACAAACACCTAGTTGTACAATCTGATTCAAACCAGAGCCATTAAAGCTAATCAAATCAAACTCCACAAATAATAAATTACGAGAGTTAATTCAGTAACATCGTCAACACAGAAGCGTTCATCAATAATAAAATCAAAATTCAGATCTCAAAATTGTTCACCAAAAAAAAACAAATCAATTAAGAATAAAATGCAGCATTGAATCGAAACAGAGCAAGATGAAAAATCAACAAAATAGTTACCGAGATGAAATTGATGACCGCATTGAAGCTTAGCGGAGGATCTATCACCGTGATCGGAAACAATCTCGAGGCAGATTGAACAAGAAACGGAATCGAAGGATTTGCGTCCGTCTCCGCCATCATCACCATCGTTTGCGAGATCCATCGTTGAAATTCAAAAACCTAGAAATTCATGGCATAAAAATGAAATGAAGAGGGCTTGTGTTGCGTTGTGATGTGTGGGAATTAGTTGGAATTAAGAAGGAAAAGTGAAAGTGTGTGTATGAAAGATAGATAGATAGATCTAAACAGTTTCTTAGTTTTTTTCTTTTCGGTTGAGATGAAAGTAGATAAATGAGAGAAAGAGAGAGGACCGAGTTTATTTTGCTTTGGGAATTGGGATTAGTTTTTGGACGTCACCAAAATATTCTCTCGTTGTTTTCTTCTCTCTCTTCTTTCCATTTCTTAGTTGGATGTTACTTACTACAAACTTTTTCAAGCAACCTGTATTCACGTCAGGTCTTAGTTTTACAATACACGCATTCATTTAACTAGCTTTCTTTATTTTATTTACTGCATGATTTTTTTAATAATTTTTTTAAAGATAAATATTCAATGTATCTAAATTTTATAATGGATGTTATACATTGATTATTCAATGTTTTTAAAAAATTATCTTTTGATTTTATAAATAAGATCAACATTAATATATTTAAAGATAATTTACTCTTTTAAATTTATTAAATAAGATCTATTATTAAATAATTATTAGTATATTAAATAATTAATATATTTAATTTATTATTAGATAAATTTATTAATAATTAATTATTGAATAAATTTGATCTTTTATAAATAAGATCAACATTAGTATATCAACAATTTATTAGTATATTAAATAATTAATATATTTGATCTATTATTAAATAAATTTATTAATACATTAATTATATAAATTTTAAAAAAAATTATCTCTTATTAGTTATTAGTATAACAAATATAATTGGAGAAAATATTATTTTGAGCTTAATTGGAATACATGGTTATTGTAAACTATTTTACTCTATTATTCAATTATAATGAATTATTTGGACATATAATTATAAAATTATAAAATTAAAAATTAAATTATAATTAAATCATTTTAGTAATTATTTTTTTATATTTCTCTCTTTTTATATGTCAAAATAATCCATTTTAATTAGATGACATTATACTTATTCTAATTAATCTCTATTATTTATACGCAATTATTGATGTGCAATTTAAAACAAATTCTACTATATTATTTACCATACTTTGTGGTATACAATTTGTTTAGTTCACGAATTATAATTTTGTATGGATTGAAAAGGTGGATTTTCAGTACAATGTTGAAGATTTTTTTGACACAAGAATTAGGGTGGTTCTCGATTATCATTTTAACTCTTATCAAAATAGATTAACTCATACAAAAGGGTCCGTTAAATTTGAAAAATTGTAAGATTTAAATTTTAAAATTATAACTCAAACTTTTAAGGGTATTTTTAGTCCAACTCTAAAAAGTCTATTACTCATTAGAAATAACTTATATAAGTCGTGAGTAATCCGTTAAACCCGTTTAACTATGAATTCTAAAAAATATATTAATATTTATGTTGTTTCACTATAAAATAACACACTAACTTTTCTCACGTCAATGTGTTTTTATCTCTATTCTATTAGAGATAAATTTAATAATTTATTATTAGTTTGTTAGAATTGTTATTAGAGATAAATTTAATTGTTTATTATTAGTTGCAACTTAACAGAACCGACCTACAAGTGAGGTTTTTCATTAATCAATATATTTTTTTTTCATCTCCAAACAAGACTAAAGTTTTCATAATCATAATGACATTGTCACTGTTGCATCCAACTTTAATTACCAACCTTCGATCATTAAACACTTGTAAGATATTCAGCTCCAATGTACACTAGAGATGACATGATTTGGACTTTGGTATTTGAAATTTGCAACCTTGACATGGAATTTGAAATAAACATGGGATTTTGGATCAACTCAAACTTTCCACTTGCATACCTCAAATCAATTTGGTCCTTTAATTTGCATCTTGTAGTCTTGACATGAAAAATATTGAACATGGAGTTCAAGCTTGGATTTGAACAATGACAAACCTAAAAATAAATTTGAATTGACTTGAACTTGTAAGTCTTCAAAGCTTGACTTTTCTTGACAACTTGGAATAAAGAGCTTGAATTATAAGAAAGAAATGATCATGAGATTTATCTTGAATTACTCTTAAAAATGGTCTTTCATGATTGATGGATTCTTGGACTTGAATTCTTGAACCAAAAATGAAATAACTTAATTTTGACTTGGAGTAGATAATGCTTTGAATTTGTAAATCAAATCTCAAATGAACTCTTCTGAAGGCATGAATCAGATTTTTCCGAAAGAGTTTGGTCCGTTAAGAGAATTTTGAATAACTTGAATTTGGTCCTTTGAATTTCTTTGAAGTTCAATCTTGTAATTTGTGGATAATTTTGAGTTTTGGAAGCATAGAAAGACTAATAAAATTCCTTGTACACTTGAATTTCAAAACGAAATCAGAACATAATGGAACCTTGTAAACTTTGCATAAAACATGAATCTTGGATTTTAAGTCTTGGAATTCAATCTTGTAAATATTCTTGAATCTTAAATAATGGCTTGATTTTGAATTTGGACTTTGAACCGCTATTTGTATAAAATAATTATGGATTTAAAGCCATAAAATTCTCGCCATTTGAATCATATCATGACTTTGAATTTTGTAAAAAAAAGAAATGGATCAATTTGAATTTTTGTAAGGAATATAATCATGAACTTTCATCTTAAGATCTCCTTGCTAAAACCTTGTTCAATATATTCATCCAAATTTCACTATTTTAAAGAATATTGATCTCTAACAAAAAGTATCCAACCTCTTAAGATTAAAAGAGACAACTTCATGAACAAAGACAAAATCTGGCTTAGGAAATCTTTCGAAAATGAAGACCATTTATAATACCACACAATTTAAAGTTCTGCCAGTTTCTCAAACCAATATCCGTGAAACCAAAGGATAGGAAACCCTAATCCTCTTTAGGAAAACCTCTGAGCAATTCTGGAGAGAAACAACATTGTGTTAATTAAGCGATCGTAAGGATGATGGCTTATCCTTCCTTTACATCCATAGGAATTCAACATAACTTATAGATGATTAGGATCCTGATGAGCATACACACAGAGCCTTCATGATCTCTAAGCCTTCTTTATCAACAACCTTAACTTCACAAATGAAAACAAATAAAAAAATCTAGTAAACGGTTAGCTATGCATGGGTGATGGACCTACATGATGTGCAAAAGACGCAATGAAACTAAGAGTAAAATTTGGGGTACGACAATTGCTCCTATTTAAATATCTTCACCGGATGATATGAGCGATGAAAATCTTCGTGAAAACATGGTGAAAGGTATTTAAATACAGATAACCAAACATTTTTCCCTTAGATGCAATGACATGCAATGTTATGGATAAAGGGACTATCATATAAGCGCTGACATGCAATGAACTCTAATATGATGCAAATGATGGAATGATAAATGCAAAATGCAGATGCAAACGAAACAACAGGGACGGAGTCAACACAATGAGTAACCACTCGCTGAAGAAGACATCACACTAGGGGAACCAGAAACAAAATTGGGGATAATCTAAAGTGATGGATCAACAGGTTCAAGCATGACCAATTGACACTTTAGAAAGAAAAACAAGAAGATATCCTCTATGGAGATAGAATCAGGAAGACAACCTCCACTAGGGAATATCCAGAGTAGTTGTCCAACAGGTTCAAACATGATCGACTAACATTCTAGGATAAAAAAGGTAAAACAGGATCCGCATGGCAGTAGGATCATGTAAACAAAATACATGAGTTTTCAAACAAGAAACAGCATCCAAGCTTCTGGAAATTCCTTAAATAAAGAGATCAAACGGGATCTTCAGGAAACATCAGGAAATATACAGGGTAAAAACTCTTATGTATGCCAAAATAATTGGACTTCATGGGAAAATGCCCTGATAAGCTTCTCAAGAGAGACTGCCACTTATCGTTGAAAAGGGACTTACACCACCAAAAAGGGATAAGCTTTTCCAAGGAAGAGACTCCCACTTATTTGAAAAAGATAACAATGATAAGCTTCTCAGGTGAGACTGCCACTTATCTGAAAAAAAGTAATGGAAACAAGCTTCTCAAGGGAGATGGCCACTTGTTGCTGGACACAATGAAATAGGATAAGCTTCTTAGGCGAGACTGTTGTGAGGGCAAAGCCTCATATATAGATGTGTTCGTTTCAATGATGTCAAAACTCAGCTCCATAGAAGAATATATGTTGGACGTTATCACCATGTCATATTTGCATGTCTTGTCTCTCATAATTCAAATGCTCGTAAAAAATCACGGTCGTTGCATATAGATAGTAAAATATGTGTGTCATATAAGGTTGACTTAGTTGGTGTCGTTTTCCATACTATAAGTTTCATCAAAAGTGTCGTAAAGTATGAAAATAGGCATTTTTTATTGTTTCAGGGCTTTGAGTCGACCAAAGACCTGTTCCGATCGACTCACACTGCAAGTCATTTTAGGGTATTAGTATCAAGAGGGCTTGCATCGACCCTCTGGTCGACTCATACTATAAGCATTTTCGTTTGGCTAAAAATGTATGCTATGTGCCGATGCATGCTATGCTCCGGTCGACGAATGATCCTATTTTTTGCACAATCTTGCCTTTGGGTCTGCTCAGGTCGACCCCCTCTACTGCATAGGTCGACCGCTCGTTATTTTGTGTCAAAATTCAGTTATGTCAATTGTCTTTGTGAATTGGTTTTGTTTGTTATGTCAGTTATGTTTGGTATATAAGTTCAATTGCTCTTTCATTTCACAACATTGAGAAAAACAAGAAAAGTGAAATAGGTGTCGATTTGGTTCTCATCATCTTCATTCTCTTCATAGAATTTCACAATAATTACACATAATCATCTTTGTCGTGCATTGTGCATGTTCGAGGTGATAACGTCCAAAGCCGAAGATTAGTTTATCTGGTTTGGGTTGAGAAATCGACAGGTTTTTCTTGAATAAAACCGCTAGGGTTTTGCCCTCC